TAGCTCACTTGGGAGAGCGCCAGACTGAAGCCAACTTCGGTACAAAAATCTGGAGGCACTGTGTTCGATCCACAGAAGCCGCAAGATGAGGGCTTGGATTAATTGTGTTTATTTCTGTACCCTATTGGCCTTCGGGATCAGCTCGATGGATGATAATTTTTCATCATGATTTTGAGACAGTCAAAGAAACTTTACACGATCAGCCAGATTAGTTTTCTGCTTCACCTAAATATTAGGCCGTGAAGGTTTGAATAGTGCAGTGGTACACCATCCGGGCCGTTCTCCCAAGTAGACACTGGGTAGCTTGAACACCTACCCCATTCGAGACAGGAGAAAGCTGGCTCGAATCCAGACAGACCCACACACCACTCTCTCTCGTGATGATATTGTACTTGTGGTATGATGAAAGCACACTCGGTTAGCCACAAGTTTTTCACTCTTTCCCTGTGGTGGGTATGCACGGAAGAGTGAGTGTTTATTGCGCTAAAAAGTCTATAACTACATAAGGACATGTAGGTCCTTTCTGCTTACAGGCCGGGAGTATCTATGCCTCGGGTAGTGTACTCCCTCCTTTGCCTCCCTCACGACTTCTTTCCAGCAGTAATACCCCCACAGGTCTTCATTCGAGTACACACTGAAGGAGACGTTATCCCGTCATTATTTCCCCTCTCTAGCCAACGAAAGGATGGCCATTTGCGGGTGTGTAGCTGTAGGGAAAAGTCTCAAAAACCACTGGGTGCGGGGCTCTCCTATGACGAAGAGGCCGTCCAGCCGGGCGCAGCAGACCTGTGTATACCTAAGAGCGTCTCTCAACCTTCCTAGCCTCCTCCTTACCCCTCCCCCGATTCATGCCGCAGGACAAACCGAAGGTCGTCAAAGGATGTCAGAAAAGTCTTGGTCGAGAGTGACAGTCGCGAAGGGGCCTAGCCTAGCATCCAAAAGTCGTTACGGACGTGGGGTTGTCGAGTAACTCATGTATTTCAGATGCTCTCCTGGCTAGTAGATTCAGAAGTTAAGATGAGTAGGGACGATATTTTTGACGAGTCGAAATCTGCTTTTCTTGAGGGCGGAAGGGTCTTTTACTTTGCTTTAGTGGGCTTTTTGTTCGCCCGCCGGTGGGTAGCACATGTTGTGATCTAACGAGGGCTTCTCTGACTACCGTTGTAGCGTTTGGTACCGCATTATCTCTCCTCATTCCTAGCATCATCATCATCGTCTTGGTCGTCTTTTGAGTTATCGGAAGCGTATCTTTGACGGAGGGGGAGATAACTCAGCTCAAAGTTGATAAGGTGTTACTCAATCTCGGCTCTGCAGACTCTACAGTGAGAGCTGCAGGTTCGTAGGGGACACCACTGACAGGTGTTGAGAATAGTCCCCTATGCACGGAAGAGGTTGTACGCCGTAAGGGTTAAGCTCGAGTGGTATCTGCAAATGAAACCCGATTGTGATTGTTCTAAATGTCAAATTGAGTCATCCTACTTAAAGTACATATCTTTCGATAAAAATCTGCATAGGCCTCAAGGCGCCAAATCAGGAAATATGAATTATATATATATTAGGCTGTGAATGTCTATATCTGTATGCCTGAGGAGTTACTAATACCCGCGTCATTAGGTATCAAGAATACTCTCGTCAGCAAGCCAGGCTTGTAATGAATCCAATACACGATACTAGGGTGCGAAAGACGATACGACTTCATCCAGAATCAGAAACGCCGCCACATTTGCATCTTCACATACTAGCACGTGGACTTCAATTATGGACAAGAACAAGCGGCCAAATCTACTAAACAACGGCTAGGGTCTCCGCCATCCGACTGTCCTTGCATTTACAGCAACGTTTATGGTGCATCCACCTACTGGGTGTCATAGGCTTTGGTGACTGTGGCTGGGGGCTTAGGAAAACAAGTTGTGCAGAGCGGCTCCGGCAAAATCGCGAGCGCAAGGGTCTATATGGCGAGATATACGGGGCTATGGCCGCCCTCGAGGCGGTCATATCGGGTAAGGGCAACACAAGAGCTAGCATCATATATGTTCTACTCGAAAACTCTGCGGCAGTTCAAGCGCTGATTTCAGGTAAAACTGTGTCGTTATCATGACAGTTACATAATTTCTGGGAGATTCCAGCAAAATCATCCGCGCTGGTCATGCTATGTTAGATCTCAGGTCAAACAGGACCATTAGGGAATGAAATGTCAAAAGAGCTAGCTCGTCGAGAGCTCATCTTGCTAGACAGTTTCACATCGACGACTAAGCGGCTAACACTTGCCGCAACAAGTCGAATTATCGTGAACTAACAAGATAACTACTGAACGACTGGTGTGACTTGGCCCGGCCCAAAAGATACGCGGACCTCGAGCTCGAGATGTGGCGCAAGAAACCACCGGAGTTTGTCCTGCCTAGAGCTATTTATGCGCGCTTCATCGCAGCTCCACCGATCCTGTACCCATAGAACGTAGAGCATTTACTGTAGCTCAGGACTTTAAAAATCAACAACAACGACATAGAATCGTCAATTCCACCGATCTGCACAAGAGAGTTTGCGGCATCCTAAATTGCTTTAGGGCTGCAAAGAAATATTCCTGGCCCAGACCGGTGATTAAGATATCTCGGGGATTCTTCATGACAGCATCACTTAGAATATCAGGATGCATATTCTTGATCGTCTAAAAGTTGCCCAGGATCCGTTGAATCCTTAATTGTCGAAGGCTAAGAACAACTGCCGAAGAAGTTGGAGAGGGATATGTCTCGCGTCATAAATAGGGACTGCCCATACGTACGTGGGTCGTTTGCTTCGGTCAGTGCTTACTGTCTGTGTTTAGAACCGTAGGTTATATGTTCCTAGCGCATGTCTTAATTTGGAGATCGAGAGATCAAGTCAATCATGATCAGTGTATGTAGTCCTGGCATTCTGGGAGAAATAAGAAATAAGTTGTTTCTATTGAGTTTTCCTTAACTTCAATTACGCACGCTTCGCTCGTCACAGGTTGGGCTCCTAGTTGCCTGACATTAATGAAGCAAGTCGTCACAGTCGGTATATTGATTGATCAACCACGTCGTGAGAGAATTAGCTTCGGCCAGCTCCGAAACGGACATGGCTTCAGAACTGTAGAGATGAATCTCGATGCGGCATTTATTGCCAGTGATATAGTCGATTCGATAGCTTTCAGGCTTCATAAGTCCTGCATCGTAGACTTTCGCCGCGGCACGGGTTCCATTCAGCTTAGATCGTCTATACGAAGTATATGTTAGAGCAGAACAGTTTAAGCCTCAGTAGTGCTGAATATCTAGGCCTCGACGGCGGAGGCGAGTTCTTTACCTTCCCATGGTGCCCACGTAATCGCCCAGTAGGCTCTGCATACTTAGGATAGCCAATAAAAGCTGCATCCGAATTGAAGACAACAGCAAACGTAAGCATATCTTTATTTGACGACTTCTCATCGTGGTCGGTCTTACCATTCTCATATGAGTCCTCCGCCTCTTTCCAATCACAGATCATCTCGCCTTAACGATCGATAAAGGAGATGTTCCGATTGCAGGCGGGAGCTTTGCTTACAAATTACCGCCAATCTCCCGCGGAAACGAAGGTGAAACTTACGGGTAATACTCAGCTGAATCAAGTCTCATAACTGGGAGATATATCAATGATCTTTGAAGTAACGTGGTAGGATAGGAGTATTGTACAAGGTCAAGCCTGAGTTATCGAAGTGCCCAATGTATTAAATAGTATCGCCGGATCAATTGATGTTCTTATACAACAGAGCGTGTCCAGAATAAAATCAGTCAGCAAATTAATTCTAAAGATGTCTTAATTCTCGCGGTATTCATAGGGAATTCTAATTATTACTGCCAATCATAACAATCTATGTTGCTAAGCAACCACATCCAGACCGCAACATTGGTAGCCCCTGTAGCTAGCTAGGCCCCATATTCCATTCCGGCCGTTCTGGCGCAGACACTATATATCTAAGGGATTAATCCTCTAACAAATAGTCAGACGCAAGTAGTACTATAAAAAAACACATACCTACCATCTATCTCTTACTACAAAGTTACGATGATAAGTATACCCGTAAGGAATTGGAAGGAAGCTAGAAAGGCAGAGTGTGAATTTCCCGAGGTACCCACAAGTCTGCAGCGCCCAGCTGGCCGGCCTCTTCGAACGCATTAGAAGGATCACTATGTCTTCAGATTTAGTCCTAATGTCGGTACTAGAAGAGCCCCGCACCCAGCCGTTTTTGCAAATTTTCCCGGCTGCCATAAACCCATAAATAGCCATAGTTTCGTCGGCTAGAGAGGGAAGAGAATGAAGGGCAAAGGGCTCCTCTCTGTGTACGAAAAAATGAAGACTTGCGAGAGGTGGTACTGCTTGAGGGGAGCTGTATGTGGGGCATAGGTATCTTTGGCCTGTAGGCAGAGAAGACCTGCATATTCTATACGGTCATAGACTGAGATAGGACAATAATATGATTAATAATATTAACATTAGCTAGGACCCTAAACTCCTTTCTTTAAGGGTTCATTTAAGCGAGGTCTTATTTTGAGCGTGCGCAAACACTGAAACCAATCAAGTATGTGGCAAGACTACATATTTAATGCGGGGTTTGTATTTATAGGAGATGCAAACAAAGGGAAAAGTAAATATCCAACTTTCAATTTCGATAGAACCGCTTGCTGTTGCACCTCGTTAATTAATACCAACAATCAATCATTTTTATGGTTATTTTTTCGAACACCTATTCAATTGTCATCTTTCTAGCAGAAGTACACAAGACGAGCCATAGCTCTATTATATCGAGAATACCTCTCGTCTACACACCCATGGTCTCTCTATATAAAATGATATCCTTAACTATTCGTGTCAGTTCAGTAGAATAAAGTTTAAATGGAGGTATGAAGTTTGTTAAGATGTTTCAAAAAACATGCGAAAGAATTCGAAGATCTTTTGACCTATAGAATTATTCATTTAACGTTTGAGGTTAGATTCTCACTTGTTTTTCCTCACTCAGCACTGCCATCGTCATCAAAGAACCCAGCGTCGCTGAATTCTTCTTCCGTAGCGTCCTGGTCATAACTGCTTTTCTTCAACATCGGCGAAGCTTCTAGTGAGCGACTAGACATTTCCGAATCATTCTTGATCCTAAGTCCATCGCTTACTCCGATTCTCTTTGGAGGCATTCCTCGTATCGGAACTCGGGGTCGATTTGCTAGTTGTGCAGGAGTAAAGCGTTGGCCGGTAGAGCTGAATGCGGTGGGATTTTGATATGACTGAGGATCTTGACGGTTAGGAACGAGTGGTGTCGAGCTCCCGCTTATAGCGCCAACATCTTTTGTGAGGGAAATTGTGCTGCTTTTATTCTTTGAGGGTGCTTTCTCAGCCTTGCTCTTCCTCCAATTTCCCCAGGCAGCTGCTAATGGACCCACGGCTTGTGCAACACGTGGTGAAGCGGCGTCCATAAGACTAGCTATATTTGGGAGATTAAGGGCAGATCCGCCATTCATAGCTCGCTCAAGCTCCTGCTCCTGCATCTGCAAATTGGTCCTCAGTCGTATAGCAGCATCTTTAACTCTCTGGACATCCCAATGATCTTGTTCCAAGCTTTGTACTATATCTGTGAGGTCAGACATTCGCACAGCCAATAGTTCACGTAACCACATTATCTCATCATCGCGTTTAGAAATTTTGGCAGCAGCGTCGGGGTCTACCGAAGATAATACTGATGTAAGAGACTCAATGGTGCTCTCTCGCTCTTGAAGTTGTTCTTGTAGGGATATAATGCTCTCTCTGAGAGCCTGAGGGGATATTTTTTCGGGACGTTGGGTGTCTGGGGTGGAAACTGGCTGCGATGAGCATACAGAAGCTTGAGGGTGTGGAGACGCATTACTTTTGGAGCGAGCAATTTTCGCTGCAGATGCGGCAGCAGTAGCAGCAGTATTTGCAATCTCTAGCTTCTCTTCAAGATGTGCGATGCGATCCTGAAGATGTTCTGTTTTTGCCGAAGAAAGAGATAAGCGGTCCAAAAGGTGCTGCTCGTGACGTTGCGCATTTTCGAGCGTGTTTTGAAGTTGTCGATCATGTTGTGTTTTAAGGTCTTCAACTGTTTCAATCAATTTTAATTCTAGGCTACTGACTAGTGACTTTTTGGTCATCTCTGCTTCTTCTATAAGCATTTCACTTCTCTCACGAGCCGTATCAGCCTCCAGCTTAGTGTGATCTATATCTGCGCGTAGGATTGACATCTGATTCTCAAGCAATTTCTGCATGGTTTCCGATTGACTTTTTGCCGCATCAATTTCTGCTTGCATATATTGTCTCGTTCTCTCTAATTGACTAAGTCCAGTTTCCTTTGTATCCTCAAGTTCTCGTTGATATCGCATGGCGTCTTTTTGGCTCACGTGAAGGTTTTCCTTTAATTCTTCTACTAAAATCTCCATCTTCTTGCAATCATTTACGGCGCGCAAAGCTTCACGCTCACCCCGTTCCAGTCGCTCAATTTCTGTCTCGAGTCGTTCACGAGTGCGACCTTCAGCTTGAAGACGGGCATCTAATACTTCTTGTCGGACAATTAGCTCTTGTTCTTTTTTAGTGTGTCGTGTATTTTCGTCCGAAATTTGACCGGCTACGTGCGCCATATCCTCCTGCAAGTCTATTAATTTCCCTCTCATAACCTCGCGGATACGGATACTTTCCTCCGACTGAATCTTAAGGGCCTCGATTTTACGACAAAGCTCTTTATTTTTCTCATTAGCTTTTTCCGCATCCTCGCTTTGGCGGCAGACTGCTGCTAGCGCACGTTCAGCTTCTAATTGCCATCTTTGGGTCTCCTGCCGTGAGATACTTAAATCTGCTTCAGTCAAGTGCAGTCTATCTAGGAGATCACTTTCATTTTTCTTGACTTGGTTATGGGAAGATTCGACTGCGGCAATACGCATTACGCTTTGGTTGTATTTTTCTTCTGTCAGTCTTACCTTGGAATCGCTTTCATCTAGGATTTCACGTATTTTTGTTTCCCTTTGATCCAATAATGTTCGAAGGCGACGCTCTTCTTCTGAGGAGATACGAAGTTGTCTCTGAATATCTGACAGATGATCTTCAGCAATTCTACGGTTTTGCATTTCTTCTTCCAGTCGATTCTCAGCTCGAGAGGCCTGATCTTTCATCACAGTCATTCGAGCTTTATGCTCTCTATCAACAAGTTGAAGTTTTTCTTCAAGTTTAGCTACTGTGCTCTTAGTCTGAAGATTATCAGAAGATTTACCATCGCCGATCATGGTCTGATGCACTACCGGTATCATCTGCTGTACTGATTCCTGTAACATCTCCTTGAAGTCTTCTATGTTACAATAGAAGAGAGAAGATTGAGAAAACTGGTGCTTCAATTCGTCCAACACCTGAAGTAAACTTTCCGAGACTACATTTTTATCTATGAGATTACCCTGGTATTTGAACACATTACTAGTGGCTAGTGCCTCTTGTATTATAGCCTTCATTTGGTCGAGCTTTTTGTCACGCCTGGAACAGAAGGAAGGCTTTGGATCCCCGACAACCTCATCTTCGTCATCAGCATCGCTCCGCGCGACGGAATTACTCTTGTTGTCTCTTGGATTACTGGAATTAATGACACTTATAGAGACTTGAATGTCCTCTAGAGTCCGTTCGAGAGGCCCGAGTTTTTCGGAGAGAGCACTACCAACAACTTGATAAATATGATTTTTTAGAAGTGGAACTCTAGCATGTCTAGATGCGTTATCCACTTCACTTAAAGCACAGTCCCATTCACTAACAAGTAAATTGTCTTCAATCTGAGCTGGACGAGAGGTAGGTGAGATATTCATTTCACTATTCTGTAAATTTTGAGAACATTTCTTCTGAGGTTGTGAGTTGCGCTTCAATGTGGGACTTGGACTTGGTGCAGCACTACGAAAGGAGTGGTTGGAACTAGGTCGGACAGGTGGTGAGGAGTCAAGATCAGGAACCTTGATGCACCGCACCCGATTTGGTTCATGATGTTTTGGGGCTTCACTTTCCACCTGTTTAACAGGATTGAAGGACTCTGCAACTTGATCTCCGTTGTGGTCAACAACAGTATCAATGTCATTGTATGGAGCTTCGCTGTAGTTAACTATTTTGCCGTGTGACTTCTCATCATGAGACGGTTTTTCTTCTCCTGATGAAAGATTTTTTTGAATGTCGTTAATCTGAGAAACTAAAAATTTACTAGGGCTGCCAATTTTGTTCGTTGCAACATTATTTTTCTCTGTGTTAGCTTCATCCGATGGAGTTGAACATTTTGCAAACCTTGATCCTGACAGTCCAACTAATTTAGGAAGTGGGGGGAGATGTGGGAGTAATGAAGTATGGTGGGTTAAAGAAGGAATTCGGGGCATTATTGAGGCTGGTAATTCATCTGCTACAGGGCTTTGTTTGCTTGTTTTTTTCAATACTGAGGATTTCGGAGTTGAATTTAGATGGAACAACTGAGCCTTTTCAGGCAACGGTGTAATATTCTGTTGGTCTTTATTTAACAGTAGTTCTTCGATATACTGAGGTTCTTCTACTTCGGATTTCTCTCGGTGCTCTTGAATGATGTCATCCGTCTTAGATATTCTCAATTCTTCAGGTAGCGTAGTAGAAAGATTGGAGGTATCCTCTTCTTCAGGTGGTAACTGACAAAGATCGTTATTTGATACTTTGAGCTCGACGCTGACAACTTTCGGTTGTAACTGATCTTCGATTTCGTCCTTTTGGCTGGCGTTAATTGGTAGTTCCATGTTCTTTTCCGAATTAGGAACTACCAAATTATCCTGACTAGCTCGGTTAGTTTCTGCATCTTTGTGCTGATTATCAAGTGGTGCAAATAACGGTACAGAGTTCTGGTCATTCCTACTACCGCGAACTCTCTTGACCCGGCCCTCACCCTGGGTAATACGTCCATCAACTCCTTCCACCACCTCATCCTCTACAGCCCTAGGATTGGAACCACCAGGACGTACGATAGGTATGGCTCTCGACTTTTTTATAGGTTTAGTATTCTCAAGCCCACTCAGATCAATGTTGCTAAAAATTGCTTTGCTATCAACATCAACTACGGCTGAAACAGGTGGATGATTTGACGATTGGTTCGTATAAGTAATAGAAGGGTTAAAGCTAGGAATTGAATTAGGCATTATAGTGGAGAAATTAAATTCATTGTTTCTTGGGTTAAATGTAGGGACTGTGAGATCAAGTTGGCCTCTTGGGATGGCACAAGAATTAGGTATGGCCCTAGGGCTAGCCTGAATGGGAGGGACACCTCCGGGAGGAAGAATATTATTCATGTAGGGTGAAAATTTATTCGGAATAAATGGTCGGTTCTGGTGAGGTTTTATGGACGAGGGAAGCGCGGACATTGGTGTGAAAGAGCTAGAAGGATTGAATGTAAACTCTTTGGCCGTAACGTTGAGTTTTGAAGCTAGTGTCTTCGAGCGACCACGCGTTTGGTGAGATTGATCAACGCCTACATCTCGGCTCTCCCTGATCCAAGGATTATTACTCAAGGACAGCTTTTGACTATGTCCGGAAGTAGTCAATGCTTTTAATGTAGGCGTTTCAAGGTTGCTTGAACAAATATCAGGCAGATCGTCCTGCTTTCTAGTACCTCCAGATTGTTTTAAATCTTTAGATTCGTTGGGATTTTCAACTTTATCCTGGAATGTTACTTGAGAAAGTGTGTGACCCCTGCTGTAAGGCTGAGGATGATGAAGAACCGGACCTTCTTCGGGTAGCTCAGTCGCATATCTTGAAGCAGCTAGGCCGCCAGTAATAAGTGAGCTGTGTCGCACATGGGCTGTAGAGCTTGATAGTTTTGGAACATCACCCTTCAGAGAGTGCGGGCTATAATCTTCGTGTTCAAGTTCGCGCTGAATTTGTTCCTCAAGGTGATATTCTGCCTCGTCAACATCTTCTTTGAGCCCAGTAACGGCATTGGGACATTGCGTACTTGATTCGGGTGTTTTTGATGGGTGATATTGAATTAATAAGTCGTCCTCATCCTCACGTTCTTTGAGTTCCTGCAGTCGTGGAGAAGCTTGACTTGAAGTTATCTGCAGCTGCTGCTGGGAAGTTTGTGACGGGTGTAAATTTTGACGCTGCTGATTATACAATGAATTATCGACATTTTGAGGAAAGTAGCTGTCTTGCGGGAAAGGGGAAACAGGTGACATGACAGAGCCAATATTGTGAAGCGAAGGTGACCGACCTCTAGCATTACTACCTTGTTGGTGAAACTTTTGACCCGGAGACCAAATCATTGGAGACTGTTGGGGATATTGAAAGGGAGAACCAAAAGGATGCTCATTGGCCGAAAACGAAATTGAATGACGTGAATTATATTTACCTTGTATCAGTCCATTTATTGGCGCATTTATCATTAGAGGAGAATTAGAGCCCGTATTTGAGCCTTGGTTAGCAGTAAAACCGGTTCCTGGCATGAAAATTGGGGAAAAAGAATTTGGATGCGCGTGACCGCTGCCAGCTGATGAGCTGGGAATTGGCGGAGAGAATGGGAGAGAAGGATATTGATAAGAAGTTTGACGACTCAAACTTGGAAAGGCAGCTTGGTTTGGAGGGGCCAAGTCATCATCGCCAAGCGATACCCCTAGAGCGCGTAATTTGGCTTCTTGTAGCTCTTGAACATATATATCCCACTCTATTTGAGAATCAGTATTACTTGAATTCTTGATAGCTTGATAGGCCCAGCCTATTTTGAGTAGGCTGAATAGCTGTAAAAATATATTGATAAATTCAACAAATGATAGTAAAAAACGTCGATGAAAAAGTTGAACATACCTCTTTTATCAGGAATTTGAACTCTGATACATTTTGTCAGTCTTTCGGCACACATATCTTCTTCTGATGGCCAGCTTGAGCGACTTTGACCGGGTGCAGATTCCTCGCCGATCGCTAATCCAAGAACTAAGTCAAACCCTCTGGTATTGTGTCCAATTAGTTCCCACTTTCTTAACATCTCCTGGACATCTTTTTCGGACATGGGCAACTTGCTCGTAGAGTTACCTTCGGCATCACATGGAGGAGGTAACAAAACCAATATATTTTTTCCCTTCCAGGCTATCTTTTTCTTCACTCGTTGAGGAAGTGTAGTTGCCAATGCTAATCGAGTTGACGAAGGAGATTCAAGTAGCGAAGCTGGAGTATCAGAGCGTCGGTCCCTTGATATTGGGCTAGGGGGCTGATTATCTTTTTCGTTGGTGGATGTCATTTCAGCTTCTTCCAAGGACATAGCCATGTTGATAGAACTTTCAGAAGCCGGATCAAAATCCTCTTGACGTAGCGTTGTAGCAGTTAATTGGCGCCGGTGGCCGTTCCTTAATGCCTCTACAAATTTGGCTTCCATATAGGTTTCAACAGTCGGTGTTTGTATATCGTGTTCCTCAGATAAAGCCCAGTTAAAAGGATCAGATATTGAGCCACTTCCTGAAGAGTCCCCGCTCGAGTCTGCGTCGCTAAGCCAGTGATTTCTCTCAGCCGATTCACCTCCTGTATGTTTTCTTATCCAATCTTCAGTTAAGCCTGTCTTTCCTCTTCGAGCTCTATTAGCAAGAACTGCAGCACTGATAGCTCCTTCCTGGGCAACAACTTCTTGCTCTGGATTTAGATTACCTATGGTAGGCGCAGGTCTTAAGAATGGCGTATGAAACTCTAGGTGGTGTATAGGAGAATCGCTTGAAGCTTCGCTCAGTGGCGTTTGAACGTGATCGTGAAGTAATAACCTAGATGTAGGTGATTTGCGATATGGGGATCCCCAGCTGGCTGTATAGTAACTCGATTGCTCTGTTGTACTGACGGGAGGGGGCGTACGTGTGACAAGATCTACGATATGACCGTTGAAAGTTGGCTGTGGAATCGGGGGTAGAACAGGAGTTGAGCTTCTAGTCCCTTCGTCGACCGTAGAGCTAGTGGAGAGAGCCGGTGACGAGGTACGTTGTACTTCCCCTGCCAGAGCAGCAGGAGGAAGTGATGATTTAATCGGATACAGCGTTTTATTCCTGGGGATGTCAGTCAGCTTTAAAAAAGCATTAATTCTATCATTAGTTGAGAGATAAATCTTAAGATTCTGCAGAAAGACAAACCTTTTTGAGACCAGCGCAGACGAAACACTGGCCGTCTGCTGCTGTCTCTCCTTGTTATCTCTGGCCTGGATATTGGTTTAGGCTCGTTTCCTGGGCTCGTGAGAATGCAGCCTAAGTTACTTTGCGGTACCAAGACAAGAGAATCGTTATTTAACGCAGTTAACGGATTAGGAGTACGACGACATATAGGTGCATGTGATGCAAAGGGTCGCTCACAAAAAAGGCGTCGATACCCGAGAATTCCAGTCAGCAGTAGGCATCCAGGCGATAGGACGAGTGAAGACTAGTTGTTCTAAAATCACGGCGTGTAAATGATGGGTTTAATTCAATGATGGGTGATCTCTTGATGGGGCCCTTTGAAATGAACTTACTCGTGCCAAGTCCCTTGCGCGACTGGGGTGGACAGGTCAATTGGCCAAGCCGTATTAAGCGAGCAAATAAGGTGTATGAACATATTGTATGGCTCACTCCTTTTCCCCTTTTTCCATAACTGAAGACAGGATCGGATTTTCTCAGGACCAATTGAGTATTGCAACTGTAGTAAAAGACTGGGCTCCATTGCTGCTTCACAAGCGAAGTGAACTGGCTATGTTTTAGGCTTACATACAAATAACTCAAATGGTCCAAGAAAGGTTGTGTAGCATTCAAACTCGATTATCTTTCATTCCCTCATATGAACTAAAATTACACAGTCAAGTGGCTCATGGAGAAATCATCTACAGCTTACTTCAGGTTCTCTCCCACTTTTCCTAGGGATGCGGCTGCTATTAGCAGTAGAGATTCCACAGAGTGTTATCAGCCTCATTCTAGGTTTCGCAAACATCTCACTAACGTACTTCTTCGGAGACCTCGAATAGGTTAATGTTATACTATCGGTGCATGCCAAAAATGTCTCGTGGTCGGGCTTTAACTGTCTTGAAATGATAAGTGATACCTTTTTTCAAGCTATCATCATCGAAGGGCCGACCTAAGCTTCATGAAATGATAGCGTTTGCTTCATGAGTGAAAATTATGTCCTTTAAATACTCCGTGCTTGCTTTAGGCTCATGAGGGACGGATGGATGGACTTTATCTCCGGGATAAATTTATTGAGCAACTCATTACCTGCAATTTTCCGTCGTAGACGAATTCCACACCGTCGGTTGTCACATTAACCTGATCGGGGAATTTCGGTGTCTAATTGACAATGACGTTTTAGTCCTCTGTTTTGCTCGGCTACATGAGGTCCAGGTAATTTTGAACCAATTTTCTAAGTCTAATAGACAATTTCTCGGCCTTATATCCTTCACTTTGACTTATGTTCAAATTTCTACACGGATAGAAGTGACTGCCATGTTTTAGGCGAAAAAAAATAAAAACAAAAGATGAACGATATTTCACCTAAACAATAGGCGCCACGAGCAGGTCGAGAGTGACTTGATGGGATGAAAAGATGTTGGAGTAGAAGTAGCTTGTACAGATCTGATTGGATAGAACACTGAAGAGAGCTAACCAAAGGTTCGGACGCACGGTGGCCGAATTTGGGAGGAATCGCGCTTCGACACAACTAACGAGAGCTCTCTAGACGATCGGACTTGTCATGGTCCAATGCATGATAGAAAATCGGGGCACTTTAGGTAGGAAGTGTAGACGAGACACACTTTCATGTCTATACTGGTCGATCTGATCCTAACCGGCCCCACCTAGGATAAGCACCAGCGCAGTACCGAGGTGCCAGCTGCTCCACACAATACCTTGCAAAAGATTCTGCTTCACAGCTTTTGTTTCCTCTACAATACACTGTTTTGACTGTTGACCAACTGTCGTCATGATATACCTATCTTTGACAGTAATTCCCGCAGTGATGACTGGGACATGTGCTTGAACAAAAACGTGCCGGGGAATTTGAAGCCTCCGCTTTCCTTTCGAGCCCGAGCACAAGTGGGGCCGGGCCGCATAACGGTAACTACCGTGGATAACGGGAATCTCGTGGCTCCCGGCTCACTAGAACACCCCGGGCTCTACTCACGTGTTGATTCACACCAAGCCGGTCCGTCCAATTTCGATATCTTGTTGTTCTCCAAAGTCAGCTCGGATTAGAATACTCAGTACGTCGCTGATTTCAACTCATCTTCGCCATCAATTTATCGTCGAGAATCCCATTCGCGCGTCGAAATTACCCGATCAACATCATGTAACCCACTGTGTAACAATGATAGTTGTGGGAACTATTATTTTTAAAAACTTGCAGTTCCAAATCGTCGCGAAGAGCATCAACAGTAAAAATAACGGAGATACAAAAGTGCAGAAAACTCTAGATAATGGGGAATTCTGAATTCTAGATAACCAAATAAATAATCCAAGACTGATTTGCATGAGTGAAGTAGGAGAGTAAAACTTACCTGATATTGTGGGAGTCAATAGAGCCATTATCACTTTCAATAGCCAGAAGATTGTCTTTTGAGAATTATTCCAAAAGAATTCTATAATTTAGGAGAAGATTACAGCACTGTAAGGGGAGGTTATTCTCAACACCTGTCAGTGGTGTCCCCTACGAAGCTCCAGCTCTCACTGTAGAGTCTGCACAGCCGAGATTGAGGAACAAAGTCCTCACTTTGACGAGGATTCCCAATCGCTTTCGCCGTCTTATCATCTTCATCTCTCAACATATTCCCCTATCACCATTATCATGAAGCTAACCACGATCAGATCAGATTGTAGGGTCGGAGCCCTTCTCATCACCAACCCTTGATCATGGAGGAGAAGCCATCCGATGAGTTTCTGGAGCGTACCCAGCACCCGATACGAAAACGGTGGATTGGATCAAGTCGACCTCGACTGTTACAAAGAAGGGAGATGTAGATGAGTGTGCGCAGCTCATGTGGTCCCGGTGTCTAGGCCTCGCCTGGCTGGGGCTGCAGATTTTTTGAGACTCTTTCCCTGCGCACGCAGTTTCCATTGCTACCATTTTTTATTTTTTTGGGTAGAAGGTTCCGTGGAAAAAGTGGCCGAATTCCACAGGTAAATACTGAGCTGAATGGCTATTCATCACGGACAATATATCAATGATCTTTCGAGTAGCATGAGAGGCTAGGAGCACTGTACAAGATGTGGCCTGGGTCAGAAAGAAGCCCAATGTGCTAGATAGTCATAGACTCGAGTAGCACAATAAACACACACACACGCACACGCTGGGGTGAATGGTTATTAATCACGGGCAATATATCTATGATCTTTCAAGGAACATAAGAGACAAGGAGCAATGTTCAAGGTATGGCCTGGTTCACAAAAGAGCCCAATGTGCTAAACAGTCTCGAGCTCATGCAGTACAATAAAACCAATTCAGGCCGACATCACTATCTTTAACATCGGTTTAACTGCCGAGAAGCTCTGCAACTACGATGAGGCTCGTCAAGGGAGGTATTCTCCATTCAAACTCCGGGGTAAATTTCGATGTGCTACTCTACAGTCAGTTTAGGGCCAGAACTCCATTTTGAATCCAAAGTGATGGATTGAAAATGACTTCAGACTGATTTGTAGTCCTTATAGAGGTTTTATTTTGAATTTAATAGAAGTAGATCATAAACGAAGAGTGCAGCGTTTTGCATTGTCGCTCATAATGCATAGGTGATATTTCTTCAATCTACAAATTAAAAGAACAATTGCCTCCATCGAAAATTGCTTTTCGTGAACTTCAAAAAACTCTGTTTTACCTCTATAGCACTCATCTCGGCGTAAATTATTTAAATTTTATAAATTTAACATACCCAATATTAACAGGACCAGTTACTCCGAGTCTAGGTGCAATGAATTCTATCAGAATAGCTAGATAGAGGTGTTGAGCTAGGTCAATGCAACACTTTTTGTCTATGACCATGTTACCACAAAAAGGTTCGCTGTTTGAAGTCAAGCAGTTGCTGGACTAAAATAGTAGTAAATATCTTCGGTCAAATGATGCACCGAAATTCGGTAGATATATAGATTAATGATATGAAACCTTGTTTTCTTTATCTGGTATTTCTGTAATGTCGCGCTTTTTATCTCCCCCGCCCCGAAAATACAGTCCAGTCTTGAAGATATTGGCGGCTTCTTCAATGAAGTATTTTCATCTGTACTATCAAGAAATTGCTAACAGTTTAAGTATCTGAAGGAGCTGGACCAGAACTAGGGATCGTTCGCTTCGGTTTGGTGTAGATGTGAAACTGGTAGAAGATTATAGAATCCTCAAACATGGTTCCTAGACTTCCAATTAACCATGGTAGGTTGATTATGAGATAATTCTTTTGTAGTGAATGACTCAGGATGCTTAGACCATATGTAGCATTTCCAAAAAGACTAAGCAGAAAAAATAGAAGTGCAAGACCATCACAGGACTTGTTGCGATAATTTTTGATTATCTGAGGGAGGCGCGCGCTTAGATAGAAGATAGAGCTAATGTATCCTAGAATCTCAGCGCCAATTGGGGCAGACGACGTTTCGGTGAAGGAAAGGGTCTCTTCGGGAAGAGGGGAGGGGACCCAGATCTCGAGATAGTAAGCAATGGACCAGCCAATGATGCCAGTGGCAGTGACAGAGAGGATAGCAAGACTATTGTAGAGAGCTGCCCAGAAAGAATTACATTTTTGATGGCCAACAAGGACGATTGGGTCTGTAATAGGAGTTTGTGCGAGCAGTGGAGCTTCTTCAGCTGCCGAATCGGGAAAAGCCGAAGCAGACAGCTTACTGCCTTTGGCTCGGAATCTTTGGTAATAAATTGTTTGAGAGATAAGAATTAAATTTGTCGCAATGTAGTAGCAAGCCAAAACGATGACGGTTGGTACAAGTGACGCCCAAACTGCACCTGTCACCTTCGAGTTAATAACTTTCGCAACCAGCTTTGCATGAGAAGAATTACCTGAAAGATTGGCTATATCACCAATCAGCCACACAGCCAAGAAGCCAAGAGATATGCCATCAGCACTTGAAGTTCGATAGTTAAGGACTAGCTGTGGAACCTTTTGTCTGTCAATACAGCTTGAAATCGAGACTTCAAAGGAGTGACACGTGGGCAAGGGTTATCCGGAAGTTACACTCACTCACCAGCAAAAAGATCCATGTCGCCAGGCTGATGCTGCCAAAAATTCCCGACAGAGCTTCCTGTGTCGTTAATATCTCCGGAGTACTGCTGATGTTTATCTGCATATTTAGTACCAGTTTAGTACGAATTATCGGTCTTGATACAAGTGATGAAATAGTCATGCATTGGCATTAGACCAAATCATGAACCATTCTAGAGCAAACCTTGGAATGCACGGTTTTTAGAGGCGATGTGGGGCACAACTTCAAACCAAGAACATTCAAGGGTTGTTAAGCCTAGCGACGGAATTAAGTTCTTCCGACTAAGCGGTATTTTGCAAATTAATCATACTGTAGTCAAGGTCCATGATAGTTTGATTGTATTCGTTTGTTTAAATGCTATTCGTATCAGGCAAATGCCCTCCACCCAATAGGCGTGATAAGGGTATTTGATCTATACAGGCTCACTGCTATCTACGTGCATGGCTTTACTTGCTATAGAAACCACAAGAAATAAACATAAGAAAGCAATGTAGTGAGTCCAAACAAAAGCGCCCTGTTCTATTCATCCCAGCAAATGACTAGTAAAATAACCACTGATACCCCTTGGAGTGCTTATAGCTCCCCATCTACGGCCTTTTCCCTGTGACATCTCGTTACGTTTGCGAATTCGATAAATTTACCCGAACCTTTTCCTCCTAGCATCTCAATTGCCCTCGGGGGGGGTTCCCGTTTCATGCTTCTCCACCGTAGTAGGGCTGGTCAGCATTCTGCAAAGTGCCAAGAGTGTCTTTCTCGACCGCACTCACATTTGGCTTCGAAATTTTCATGCTTAAATCTTTCATGGTATTTGATAAAATAGATTTCATTGTGTCTTGGCTAGTTTATTATTATGCACTGTTACTGAATATCACGTGAGGTGAAACATTCCAACACTATACCTACCATATAATGAAGGGATCGCCCCTAATCACCGAGGAAGAAATATTTCGCGCATGCCATCAGGTCTCATCTACAACCCCAGGATCCGACGAAATAACCCGGGATTCTCTCCGTCGAGCATGGCCAGTAATTGGTTAGAGGGTGTCAGATCTCTTCCGCCAGTGCGAGAAGCTAGGAATACACCAAATAGCCTTCAAGAAGTCTACAGTGATTATTCTTCCGAAATCAGGAAACCGAGATCTCACCCTCCCGAAGTCCTATAGACCAATCTCCCTCCTTTCATGCCTAGGCTAAGGCCTTGAGCGAGTGATAGCACGGCGACTTTCGTTTATAGCTCTGTAATATCGGGTACTAGCTGAAGACCGATGCAGTGCCATCCCTCTTCGCTCTGCTTCTGACCTTACCACAGCTCTTGCTTGCGATATTCAGGAAATACGGGCGGAAAAGAAAGTAGCTGGTATAGTGACTGTCGATGTCCAAGGGGCGTTTGATGGTATCCAAAAAGGACGGCTCTGCTACAGATTTCGAAACCAAGGATGGCCATCAAGCGTGGTTCGCTGGGTAGCATCTTTCATGGAGCAGCGAGAATACATCATCTCTATTGAAGATACTACCTCCCCGCTCTTCCAAACTCACTGTGGTCTCCCACAGGGCTCACCAGTATTGCCAATTCTATTTCTCCTGGCTATGGAAGAGGCACTACGTCTTTCCACTGGCCGCTTTGGCTATGCAGATGACATTGCCCTTTTCGGATCTGCATCCTCCTTAGACGAATGTGCACGTAAACTCCGGGAGAAACTAGATAGCTCTAGAGCATGGGGTCTGACTAACGGAATTAGTTTCGAACTTTCTAAGACTGAGCTGCAATACTTTCACCTGAAGCAAGGCTCACCACTAGAGCCTGCTCTTAGTATTGGAGGGACAACTATAACGTCCAATGATCACACTCGCTGGCTTGGAATCTTTTTCGACCCTGCTCTTCGGTTTCAATATTATACTATACAGGCTTGCCGGCAGTCTCTAGCTATCACGAGCCATATGAAAAGACTGTCCACAACCACTCGAGGAATTAGCCCTCTTTTTCTAAGACAAGCTCTACAAGGTGCTGCCTTTGCGACCCTTTTCTACGGGGCTGAGACCTGGTACTCTAAATAGACTTCCCAAAAAATTATCTTGCAAGTACAACATAGGATGAACGACGCGGCACGGGCAGCTCTTCCAGTCTACCGTACCACACAAATAGCTGCACTTCTACTTGAAGCTGGCTGGGGCTCAGCTTAAACGTGGCTTAGCAGAATTCACAGCCGTCTAGCGGTTCGAATTGCTGCAGCTGACCCCTATCACCCTCTTCGTAGGCGTTGGAACACTAGCCGCATGCGCTGGATCCTCCAGAGAATTTCACTAGAGCTTTCCGAAGATACCATCCCCTCACCATGGTCAGCACCCCATGAGGAAAAGCTAATCGAAATTGGGGTAGCAGGTAGACTCTCGGGATTAAATTCCTTCAAACAGTGGCAGACTGCTCGACCCATTCTAGACTTATTCGTATTTTCAGATGGAGCTCTCATAGCAGACCGAGCAGACGCGGGGTACGTCATCTATCGAGGACTTACGCAGGAGATTGGGCGAGGATCACTCCCGCTCGGAAACTCGGCAGAGGTCTATGATGCTGAAATTGCCGGGCCACGGAAGGCCTTACTGCAGCACTCCTCAACCCACTGGCTTTCTATACCTCTAATGTCACCGTTTGCCTTGACAATCAGGAGGCCGCCCTTCTATAAGAGAACGATACGCCAGCTTCTCGCAATCGTATGTTAAAAATGAATTTATTTTCTATCTAGAGAAGAAAGTTGTAGCTACGAAGGGTTTTGGCTAATATAAACATGACTCGTCGCGTCACTCGCGAAACTTTACTAAGCAGAGTCGAGGCTTTTCCCAAAACAAGTATAACGCCTATTCGGAGCCGGATAAACTCCGGTTCCAGATAAACCAGGCCACGGCCTATAACACCTTCGTCTTCTCTCTGATGTTCCCACGGCGTCTAGCTCAGCGAAAATCTTTCTCTTTCGCAAGCTTGCAGCAAACTGGAAAAGAAGGTCACGCGGCCAAAACATAAGGCCTGGGGAAGTGGCTATCCGATGGTGCCCGGGCCACGCAGGTATTCTGGGAAACGAAGCAGCCGACGCGCTTGCCAAGGCCGCTTGTGCGGCTCCAGCTCCACACTCGGTATTCTCTATTGCGAGGGCAAGAAGGGAAGTCAAAGCCCAATACGAGGCTTCTGTTGCACTTTACTGGGCAGAAAATTCTCCATATAGATATAAAGAATTAGGAATTGGTCCTAATACTAAGATTACTGCCGAGCTCGCCTGTCTAGGGCGACGCACACTAGGATATCTATCAGCTGCACGGACTGGACACGGCGATTTCGCAGACTACCACCGACGCTTTCAGCACAAAAACGCTATTCTAACCTGCTCATGCGGAGAAGAAAAGTCCCCCAACCACTTTTTCTATTGCCACCTTGGGGCCCAATGAGCTAGATAGTCATAGACTCAAGTAGTACAATAAAACACACACACACATATTGCCACCTTGGGCAGTACCAGGCACAGCTCCATAGAGCACAGAATCCTAGTCCCAGCATATCTTGGGCTCTCGCTTCCGCGGAGGGAGTTCACACATTTAATAGCTGGGTGAGTGCCACAAATTTCTTTGGAAAAGCACAACAAGTCTGATCGAAAGGAAATCATGTGATTCAATTAAGTTCCCCCTTCCATATTGTTTATTTAATCTATTCTTCATTCAATACAATCTGATAACATGAGAGACAACGGGAGGTTGATATTCATGTTTAATTAAATCTTCGAGCACAGGATAATAAGATCCTGGCTTTCATCTGCTTTGTTGTGTCTATGTAGCCACTAACACGCGGGGTGGTTCAATTAGACTGAGCTAACTGGTACGTGAGGAGCTCATTAGCTGTGTGCGGGCACGATGTTAAATATTATAAATAAATTATGGAGAGATCACCTGCGGACCTATTCCGCAGGCTTTGCATTAGGTTAAAAATTTACGACTACTTTCTTTGAGCCGTGGCACTATTCATTACGTGAATATGACATACAACGTCCCTTCTAATCTATTATCTATCAGGGATGAAACCAATGATGTTCACCTCTTTCGACAAGTTGGATGGCTTTAAGATTTTCTGTTTTGGTTATGGCATCGTCCCTTTATCATATAAATAACCTCATAATCAAATGCAACCACGAGAACGAGAATGACAACGCCAATATAGAAATAATCATTTCAATCATATCTCATATGTCTTTATTCATAACGCTCAGAATGCTCAACATATGTGGCGCTCAATCAAATTGCCGGAGTTGATTAGCACCCGATGAAAGGGAGTAAAGGGGATCCTTAGCCAGCGACCAAAGAGATACTTTTTCGATAGCCTATACATTAGGTTCAAAGCTTTCATTGGTGATGCATTTATGCCAGCAACAGGATTTGTAGAAAGTGTCAAGATATACATAAATATCTAGGTCAAAAGTTAGCCTGTATTACGTATCAAAAACCTTATTATGTTCGTTGTTACCGCCTTTCATTTGTAGATACTAAAGAGTATTTGAATCGGAAGAAGTAATAGGAAAACTTGTACCTACGTTTAATGACGGGTATAAACTATTTATTAAAAAACTTAAAGTTCTGGCTTTGGTCTAAATAATATGCCAATTGGTTGATAAAAGACCATAGGTTTCAGAAGGGACTTAGTGACTGAAACTCTCTCGTCATGTCTTGGCGTCCAATTAAGCTATCATCTTAAGGGATTGTCTCTGCTTCGAGCGCAATTCGGAGAACTGGCATACAGAGCTTCTGAAGATTATTTAAGTCCCAGTCCAGTCTTGTGGGAAGCATCCTGAAGACCTAAGATGAGTCGCCTGTTACTCTATTCTCTACAATATTTGATCATTTCTCAATATTATTCTGCATACGGTATGGCAGTGCAGCACATTTTCTCCATCCAGCTGTTAGTACTAAGATATCCCGTTCTTCTTCATTACTTATACTTGAAACAGGGCTCATCAACACTGATGGAGTTGTCGGTATTCCAGAGCTTTTCTGATAGAGTGAAGTAGCTGTGCTAGATGAATAAGTGTGGAATGTTGAAGGTAGTGGAGATAGCGATTGGTGATACGTGCTAATACTCTTTGGAATAGTGGGGAAGTTAGTCGTGATTGAAAGACTGGATCTGGAATCAGGGTCTGCCAGATTCTTCGAGCCTTGAGGTTTGTCCGGATCAGAGCTATCGATCCAATCATTCCTTGAACTATAACTAGTTGTACTTCGACAGTTTTCTTTTGAACTAAAAGATATCTCTTTCTTAGAAAGTGTATCCGAAGTATCTTTGCTTTCAAAGTTTAACGGTGGAATTGAAGCTCTGGGGCTCACCAGCCTTGAATCTCTAATCTGAGACGGTAGAGAGTTGATTGAAGATAACCTATTGTAGGTCAATGAGGGCGATTGACTCTGATATGGGGATTTTTCGGGGGTTTTCGTTGGTGTCGAGCTATTTTTCGAATTGTTAATATTTGAGTGTACTATCGGGGTTGTGGAAAGAGGATGTGCTGCAAGTTCATAAGGTGAGGTTTGAAGTTCATGTGCAGAATTTTTATAAGATTCTATAGCCGTATTTCTTTGTTCTATTCGAGATGCAAGAGAAGCGGAGGGGAATTCTTGTGTCTCAACCCTCTTCCCTACACTCAATATTCCATCTGAATCCGGGGAGTACAAAGGAGGACTTCCATGATCTTCAGTTGATTTTAGCCCCACAACAAAATTTGAAGAGTGGGACTTCCGCAATAAGCTTCGATATGGTAGTGGTGGAGCATCCCCTCTAGGACTTTTTCCGCACATACTTTTTCTTTGTGATGGCAATGTATCGATAGAGCTAGGGCAATTGAACTCGGATCGACTATCGGGTGATTGGAGAATGTTATCCAAAATTTCAGCTTCCAAATATAAGTTCAATTTCTCTGGCGTTAGCTTAGTGCTTTCGCAGCTAGGCTCAGAGACAATTATTTCACCGTCACTCCTGAATTTCATCTCATCATAATATGATGGTGGACTTGTGGGAACTTGAACTTTGTCGTTTACGAGATTTGCATTCATACTGGCAATTTTATGCTTGGAATGACATTTCGTTATAGGTTCGATTCTACCGATTATCGCCGTAGATAATCGGTCTAGTGGCTCTGACTTTATAACGCAATGGTTTTGCAACTGATCTGACAATATTTTTTCATTAGAGTCCCATTTAGGTCTTGTGTTTAAATCTTGTGGCCCTAAATCACTGTTTCGACGACTGGGCTGTCTTTTAATTTTATTGGTGGTCTGGATTTCGACAGGTCCCGCTAAGCACTCTTCTTGCATTTGAGACTGCTGAGATGGCAAATTAGGGCTGAGTAAATTAATTTTCTGCTCACATGTCGAATTATCTTCAGAAAAGTATGCACTCTTACATTTCCTTAGAATATTCCTGAATGTGGATATATCGTTACTCTCGTTTATCATCTTTGCTTGAATTGGTGTTGAAGGCATACTTGTACTCTGCATCTTAAGAGATTCTTCTATCTGTTTTTGTTTTTGGGTGCTCTCAATGTAGCTGTAGAAGTTCTGGACCTTGGGTGCGAGAGGAGGAGGCTGAGTAAACATCCAGTTTTGGCGACGCTTGTTAGCGTGAACTTGGGGCGGGTGCGATCGACGGCTTTGACGAGGGCTTGGCACTCTACTATTCTTCTGTTGAGGGTCTAGTCCTTGTGGAACTAAAGACCCAATCTGTGACACAGGCTCATTCTTGTTAAATCTATCCCTAGTCTTGAAATTTGCGCTCATATCAGTGATATTTTCCCGAACTGGCTGATCGCAAACTCTATCACGAGACTCAGGAGATCTTGATGTCTTGTGAAAATTTGAAGAATTCTTTCTCCATTCCTGTCGCTGACTTCCGTGTGCAGATAGAAGTGAATCATGTAGAGGAGATTTTGGCGGAATGGCAGTCAATTCTTTTGGAGAACTTACACAAGTTTCAAGATCTGAATTTGGTGAATTGTTCGCCTCAGAGATTAACTTCCGAGTAATCTGCGACCTGAAATTTTTCTCGGCTAATTGCTTTCCTGAATCTTTACACAAAATTGTTTGTGGAGTTTGACTTGAATTTTCTGCTAAAGTCTTAGAGCTTTGTAGCTTTCGGCGATATCTTTTAGGTGTTATATGCCCACTCTCTGACGAACCAACAGGTACCGGTGTGCTAATTACTGTAGTAATAGTTTTCCCGAAGCTAGAATCATTTATAAGTGTCTGAGGTTGTTTGTTTTCCCGACTCGGAACTTCTCCCCTGTTATTTGTTTCACTAGACGCTTTGTCTAGACCAATGGCTAAAATCTCACTTTTTGTTGAAGTTAGCTCTTGAGGTGACTTTGAGCATAGGCCACTTGATTCAGCTAGGTCGGATGCCGACACTGTAATGAAGGATTTTTCACTAAAATGATTTAGTACTTGAGGAATGGAATCGTTGGGGAGGTTAGTTTTTTGAATAGGGGCTTTGAGTGATTTAGATGAGAAGTTGTTGGAAGTTGCAGTCTCTATTTTCGTAGTATTGTCCTCTTTTGAATTTATAGGTTCTGCGCAAACGAAACTAACACACTTTTTTGTGGTTGGATGGGTGCTTGATTGAGAGGTTCCTCTCGCTTGGAATTCTGCGACCAGCGTAGGAACAGTGCGTCGCGGTCCACTTTGTTCTACTCTTCCCTTTTTTGTAAGCATACTTTGATCTTCTCTGCGCTTCAAACCACCGGTGACACATTGTTCTAGGTGAGTAGTTACTTCAGAATTAAACAGTTCATAAACCTCTTCGGTCTGAACTTCTTTTTCACAAGATGGTTTAGAGCACACCTCGTCTGTGACATCTGAAGTCACATTTTGTCGCAATTGAAGTGGAGCCGATTTGTTTACCGTCTGATCCTCAGAGTCTGTAGAATTTTGAAATTTGAAGGAGTTATGATCGAATGAGGAATCAGGTTGTTTTAACTGGTTGATTGCGATATAGTGCACTTGTTGGTCTTTTTGTTCGGTTGTCTCATCAGCTTTTATTCTTCTTTGATCCTCACCATCAGACTTGTAGAAATCATGAGCTAACTTAGACTGGTTTATCGGACTCGCAGTCACAGGTGTGCCCGATAACCGTAGGTTATGAGCCGTGATGTCCCGAGTTTCGCTCCCTATTAATATGTTTTGCGAGATAGCCATATTTCCCAGTTCTTGAATGGGCGTATCGGGTTGCGATCTATGATAATTAGACTGCATTTTGTTTTCTTCCTCATCTTCTTTCAAGACAACTATAGGTTTTATTGAGTGATCCGGAGGCTCTAGATTCTCTAAATTTTCCAAACTCGAAGTAGATATTTCTGTACAAAAATTGAAGATAGATCTTTTACAGTCATCATGATTTTCAATGCTTGGATTTACCTGATCTTTTTCCTTTTTGTTGAGTTGAGATAATCTGCTAGATCTCGAAGCTTTCTTGGGACTTCCGTCCAGGAAGTTGGTGCTCGAGCGCTCCTTAGCTCTTCTTTGGACTTTGGTAGTAGATTTTCGTTGTGGTGGCTTGGGAATCGAAAATTCCACATTCCGAATTCCTTGACCCTTATTTATTACTGACAAGGGTCGGATTGAATAGTCGAGACCAAACGAGTTGTGAGATTGACCATCGGCAGTACAAAAGTTCTCGGTTACTATTTCAGCGCTCAAAGATTTTTTAGAGCTGGCTGAGAAGCTGACTTCTCTAAATTTAATTTCCAAGACTGGGTTTGTGTCATTACCATGGCGCGGAGATTTAATGTTTGTTTTATTGATATGTTGTTGTCTATTATTCGTAGACGCTATACCCCGTATCATTTGTCGAGGGACCATTATGTCTTGAGGTATTGCGTCATGTAGCTCTCCTCTATGTTTTGGTGAAATATTTTCCCCAATAGATGTGGAAACAAAGGAAAATGGGCTTGACGATAAGTGACGTGCAGGTGTATCATCTTCTCCCATTTTTGAGGTGACATTGTTCCTACACGATCGTAGAGAGTCATTTGAACTATATCCACTATCAGCATTCACAGAGCACATGGTGTGAGACAATATATCTTCAACTAGGCTAGGAATATTAGAAACTTCTTTGTCCCAGCTATCAGGTATCGAACCGTGGGCTCTAGAACACAACAATTCCCCTTGAAATTGTCGATCTTTGGTAGTTGGAGGTCTACTTGGAGTTTCTGGCACTTTATTTTCTCTTTGGGATGCGAGTGATAATTTTTGCCGGGTAGTTCTACGAGGGAGATCATTGCAAGATCTTACCGTCTCAGATACATTACTGTTGTGTGCACCTTGTCCCCCCGAAGCACTAAACATTTCAACATCGAAGTCCAAGTTTGTATTATGAATGTCAAGAGTGAGATACTCAAGACTCGATCCTCTAACCTGATTTATTGCCCTGCTGGCTGGCCGCAAATTTTCATTGCTACCGAGCATATGTGTAGGGATTTTGTGCTTGTTAAGATTGTGAAGTCGATCATTCTGATTGTGAGAAGAGCTACAGTCTTCATCTAGTTCCCGATCGGTACCTATAGCGGGGCTTGCGGTGCCATTCATAATTCTAAGAGAGCCATGTTTGTAAGCACCAATCGGCCGGTAGTCAAGATCGGTCGGTGTTTCTGTTCGTTGTGGCTGCGAGGACTGTTTGGTAATATTTGGCGTGTGAGCCCCTCGATAAACGTCTCTGCCCTCCAAATGACGGCTGTCTCTTACTGCGGCTTGATTCAATGATCTATGAGCTGGAACGGACATTTGTCTGTGATCATCTTCCACAAAAGTAACCTTCTTCGTAGTATCTTGATGGCGGAATGTGGTATGACGTCTATTTATATCAAGTGCTGATTGTGAGAAGGACTTGAAGCCCGACCTCTTCCGGTATGGAGCTGGTTCGATTGACTCATTATTTTCGGAATTTTGCTTGAAAGGAAGTCCACATGCAACTTGCTGAACAACTTGATTCTTTCGCATCGACCATGAGTTGTTCGTTCGGCAAGTACTAGCATTTATTTTTGTCAACAGAGTTCTCATATAATTACCCGCGAAGAACATACCCATCGTGAATTTCAGGTACAGCATTGGATACACCTGGATTAATGAGTTGTTTTTGTCTAGGGCGTCTCTTGAAACCAGCTTTGGGAAATGTTGGCGAGAATTTTGAATTGCCCTCGGTTTCAACGTCCGTTGTTCCATTCTTGTTAAATCTCGATCGCGACCAGAAGACGTTAGCTTTTTTCATCTTGGTTGAGATTCTAGTGCGAGGTAAATTATCCGTTGTTGCGAATGGTTCCACCAAAGGCCTTCGGACCTCGAAGCTGTTGGGAGCATCATCGGTTGCACTACAATTAGGGCCTTCCTTAGGATATTGCAGGCTCGCTGTTATCTTCCCATAGGATTTTTTACTTGGTCTATGGTGCTGTTGTCTATTTCCAAGACTAGTCGATACTGGCTGTTGCTTAACCATGACAAAAGAATGTTAGCAGAAGCCGAATTAATCAGAGGGCATTCTCTTAAGCCTCTGAATCTGTGACAAGGAAGCGGTTTCGGACAGGGCACCGCTCCAGATGAATAAAAGAGGGATAGAGAACGAGGGCAGGGTTGTTGCGCAACATAATGGCGAGCTATCAAAGGAGACAACTGGCTACAGAGCCCGGCGCGAAAGTAACTTCCTATTCTCCTGACACTGGACAAAGATTAAACCCTAGCGGAATCTATTGGTGAGAAGCCCAGATCCTTGTCGCTGGGTTATTGAAATTCAGCCAGCCCTGCGTTTCAAAGCAGCTGAGCAAGGATTCGCACGACCAATTCGGCATATCAAATCGCTTTGTGAAACGCTTCGGACTCAAGATCTGACATTTTTCTCGACACGACAACATGATCTCGCAAGCGCACATTCCCTGTCATCATTCGATATCGACGAAGGAACATCAGGCGATGGGATCCAATGGCAAGATTTAGTCTGAACTAGTAGACACTCAAGATTTACACAATTATCATCGAATTTTACTTCTTTGCAGAATGCGCACAGTGACAATGTCAAACTCCAGCCACGTTCCAGTAGTTTGGAGTCCGAGATCCGAGATGGCACAGGAAACTAGAGCCAAGTTATCACTGCTACCCTCTAGAGAAACGGAATTCGTAGCATTGATGTGCCCTAAAACAATTTCAGTCCATAAACTTAGTGTGGAGCAGGAGCCGGTTAAGCGTGCAGGTTCGAAGATGCGCGTGCCTGTCAACGCATAACAATCGAAGGGGGTAGAAGCTCGATGTGTAGTTTTCGTCGGAGGCCGAGCTCGATAGCCCTGAAAGCTGGACTGCTAAGTAGCACGCCACATACACAGGGTGGTATGAGACCCGCTCGACGCCAAAGATGGAGGGAGCCCACCGGATGCAGATCCTTACCCACTCCCAGGACGGGACGAGACTTCGCGGGAAGGCTATCGCTGAGGGTGACTAGCGAAAGCGGGCCTTTGCAGCTGTAATGCAAGAATGTAAAGCGTGAGCTTCAATTTAATCTCAAGTTGGCGTTTAGTAATTCTGGCTTTGACTTTAATCGGCTCTTTGGCTCGCAAATGAGACCGGATCTTTCACAGTCGGTAGCAGCAGCCGGGTTGAAAACTGTGAAGAGCGGAGAAGAAATTGGACGAGGGATTAGAGTTTATCATGTAAACTGACGATAGGATGGCATCTGAATCTGCATAATGTACTTATTGCCTAGCGAGGGCGAACCAGCTAAGCGACTAAGCCTGGCCTCTACCGTCTTGGCGCTCTGAGGCGAGAAATAGCGGTATTCCCGGAACTCTAGTGCTTAAGCCACTGAACTACATTTTTCCAGACATTCCAGCGTCAAACCTTCCGAACCGTTACTTGCACTCCCATAAACCTTTCTTGCCTCAGATTGCCAGCGTAGTCTCAACGTATTCTTTACGCTCAAGCTTGCTCCCTAGTCTAGTGGACTCTGCACTTGATCCTGCTACCTCAAAGATCTCTACTACAGTGTCAGAAATTTGATCTCATTTTTCTAAAAGGGATAAAAGATCTGCCCAGATGCTCTGCCTTGATTAGTTTTGTATCAATATAGCAATGATCTTTCAAGTACCATACGAGGCAAGGAGCACTGTACAAGGTGTGGCTTGGGTCAGAGAGGAACCCAATGTGCTGGATAATCATAGACTCAAGTTATGCAAGAAGAACATCACGTCATTAGTTGTGTATCGCTTAGTATTTCAGCCACCTCCACGACGTCAGGTGATGTGGGCGCATTCCATCCAAAGTCTTAATACCACAATGCATGATATTTATTTCCAACTAAAACTGGCTGCTACTTTTTAAAAAGACTATTATATCGAAGCATAATCTCATTGTGATGGGTATGGGAGCCTTCTTTTCATTCTCTGCTGATGAGCTATCCTCACCCTCTTGACAAAGACATCATGAAATACACCCTTCACAGCGAAGCCTCTACCTCACCTTTCTTGTGGTCACCTAACCCCAGCTGGCAAAAATACCACCCTTAATAATTCTTCAAGCTTTTTTCATCCTATCAGGTACATGATTTTGTCGTGAAAGGTAGCGTTGCGTTGACTTTAACGGGTGAGTTTCGAGAGAGGTTGGCCTCCGCCAGTCTCCGACGAAGTCTGGAGTCTCTTAATTTTCTTCTCGGCATCTCCCGTGGTGCTAAACGATTCGCCTCTATACTGGAGAAGGTTAAGTTTCTATCTGAAATCTGCCCTATTCGCAACGTGTGATCTAGTAAGGTAAAGAATATACAGCAGAGTGCTCACCATATCTTAGGGAAAATTATTTTTAAAGGCCTCTCGGTATACAACCATAAATAAATGTAGTTTCTTTTGTAGCAGTCACCAGTTTCCCCCTGGGATGTGGCAATAGCGTTGGCTTTCGCCCGGTAGACAATAAAAATAAATAAATATTTGATGGGTGAGTTGTGAAGCATGAATGCCTTCTATATCTTAAACTTTTCCCAGTGCTTAAAATATTTTAAAGTTTAAGCTTTCAGGCGTCTTGTGCGTATGCATGCTACTTTTTGCATTGTGAGGAAAAGCGAGTGCAGAACTAGTTGCTGCTTCAGAAGAGGGTGACTGACTATCATTTCCAAGCCTTACCACGGTTTCCATTACTCGAGAATCGTGGGCTTGTCATTTCGATGAGAAACCAGGATATCCCCCAAAGGAAGTGGGTACAGAATACGGCATCATGGTCAAGGATATGACTCGTGCATAGGTGATGATCTCGACCGTATGAATGAATTCTGGTTTTATCGCTTATATCACGTGCTAAAGCTGAGCAAATCTTTCTTTTTCAATGATTCAATAAGTCATCAGCCGTGTAGCTGCGGCACATGACCTGTGCCCAAGGTGGATTTCACACGATTTGTGTCTTTAATGGTGCCTACCATCTGTTTTTCATTCGCGGCTACCATCACGAGATGTGTTCGTTCGCGGGTACTACGAAAGGCGAGTCGTAAAATGGGTAGTTTTATAGGCATACCTCTATAACCATGTGAGGGGAACTATTCACAATGCCTGTCAGCGGTGTTCCCTACTAACCTCCAGCTCTCACTGCAGAGTATATAGAGCCGAGATTTAGATAAACCTTCCTCACTTCAATGAGGATTCTTAATTGTCTTAGCAGTCTGTATCGTTTTCATCCCTCAGTACAGCCCCTTGGCATTATCATCATGAAGCTAACTACGATCAGATCAGATGGTAGGGTCGAAGCCTTACTCATCACCAACCCTTGATCATGGGCAATATATCAGTGATCTTACAAGTAGCAAAGAGGATAGAAGCGCTGTGCAAGGTATGGCCTGGGTCAGAGAGGAGCCCGATATGCTAGATAGTCTAAGACTCAAATAGTACAATAAACACATCTCTTTCTCTTCTTACTGTGCCTCAATATCCATGGATAATTATATCTTGTAGCGGCTTTGCTGGAGCTGAGGTTTCTCACTCTCTGGATGCTAAAGCATGCGAGCGAGACAAAAATGACGCTGCCAAGATGTATGCTGATGATATGAGTATCCACTACATGTGCAAGAAGTAGTCACAAAAGGGAGATCTAGAGACAGTAACACCGAGGGGCGCAGAGTCTTAATAAGTGAATAGGAACCTTAGACCCCAAAGTCGTCGCCATAGTGATTTGCTCAGCAGAAGGACAAAGACTAGAAATTTCTGCGGTGTCCTCTGTGAGTCTGACTGAAATGTTATCCCAAAGCAAAGTTAAGTCATATTTCGCCACAACGAGATAGGCCTATTTAGAAATAATTCAGGGCTCTCAAGAAAAGCAAATTTTCACCCCCCAACAAGATAATTAAACCAAGCCTCATACAGTCCACAAGTAATACCTAGTAAATCCTCGTTTCAGTAATCACATCTCTTATCACTTCGTTCTCTAGCCTCAAATGGCCTCCATATATACGCCCGCAAGAGCTTGGATACCTGCAGGATGAAACAAATCGTGGCGCACATATCTGGGAGGCAGTTCTTTCGGATTGATATGAGAAGACTCAGGTTCCATGATCAAGATTATGTGAATTATTGGTATAATCTTTATAAAGGTGAAGTGTCTACGTTTGGATAGTAGCTTTAAACTGAAGGGCAATGTGTGTGCCGCGCCATAGAGGGCGAGGGTACGGGCAACATTGCAAACACTGGCAGGGTTGAGTGGTGTGATGGTACATCATCGGAGCCGGTCTCTTAAGTACAGTCTGAATAGCTCGGATATTTATCCTAAAACTTGGGCAGCAGCAAAGTTTTACCAATGCCGCCATTCTGGACGTACAAAAATAAGCTTCCGGGAGTCGCCATTTTCTCTCCACAAAAACCTGACGAGGGCCCAAAGTAGCTTAGCAATCCAAATTCGAAGCGAGCATATCGGGCTCAATTCGTATTTGCATAGAAGAAAAATACCAGGAGTCTACAATCCATGCTGTCCGTGTGGCTACCAATCACAAAATCCCAAGCACATGATCATGTCCTGCCCTAAGTGGTCAATTGGTAGAGGAGAAATCTGGAGACAAGCCCGAAATCGCTCCTTTGAAGCAATGACCAACAATCCTAGCGATATGTCAAGAATCACACGATGGATTCTTAATCATGGTTGGATAGAACAATTCCGCTTGACAAATGCAGTCGAAATGCTGCTCAGGGAACGAGAGGGAACATGTGGAAGGTTGGGATTGATAGAAGGGACGTGATTGGTACACATCGACGGCGTTACAGTGTAACTGTACTTCCTGAAGGATAAACTGCAAACTATAAGAATTAAATCAGAAAGCTTGGGGGGTTTTCACCGAGAGGTTTCCTCCTATGTAAATATATAGATAGGTTTATAGCCACCTGCATGGGCCCATAGGGCGCCAAATCAGGATAATGAACACAAATCAAATCAAATCAAATAGCTCGGATATATATATAATTCATTTTACCTGATTTGGCGCCTTGA